TTTAAATATAACTAAATTATCCTTTTTTTCTTTCTAGAATAACTTCAAATATAGGATGAACGTACATTAATTTATCCTAAGTAGCTTTAAATTTGTAACAATATACATCTATTTATAATTAAATGTTATTGTTTTATTGTCCTTTGAACCATGTCTAGCTACTGTTTATAAGTTGTAAGTCACTTGGGAAACGTGCAGTTGGTGTTACTCTATTAAATTGCATTACCCATGAGCTAATCCAAGCTGCTCACATGCGTGCTTCGTGAAAATATTTTATTATATTATTATTATTGTTTATTTTATCTAATTTAACCTTAACTAAGCTAAGGAAATACATATTTTTGCATTTTATATACTTTTGTAATAATAAATAAAGAATAAACATGAAAAACAACAAATACAGTACTTACCCAATCTTCTTTTTTTTTGCTGTCAATTGTTGATGACATATAACCCTACTTTCTTTTATACTAATAGTAATAATGCACTAAATAATTTTTGTTTAGTTAAATAATACACCAAATAATATAGAATAATAACATGCAAAATGTAGACAATCTCCCTTAACTCTTGAACTTTTTCTGGCTTTCTAACTATGCGACAAGAACTGTTACAAGTTCATCCAAGCCAGTAGTTAGCTTTCCCATTAGAATGGAGCTTGTACTCTAAGTGAAATTGTTGATTATTTATTCAGAACATAACATTATACAGTACATCATTTGATAGATGAATACCTTAGCTTTTTATTGGTCATAAGTAATATATAATTAAATGTAAGAGAGAACTATTAACAAATCCTGAGGATGTGACAGGTGGGTGTGGCAAGAGGGGTTTGATTTTCTATTTGGTAGCTCTGTAACCAAACAAAATTGAAGGCTATAAAAATTATGGTTTGTCTTAGCAATTGGTTTGTCTTAGTTATATAGTGAGTAATTTACGATGAATTTTGTACATTTTGGAGGGGCGATGGTTAAAATATAAAGAGAAGATAACTAGAGAAAATGTCAAAGGTTTTGCACTAGGAGAAATTTGGGATTTTTTTTAAATATTGCTTTATAGAATTAAGAACTTACAACTTATATATTATTAAGATATGGATAATTAGCTAAGATTTTATGCTATGCTAGTTGGTATAACATAAAGAAAAAGTAGCTTAATAAAATTTTTATTGTGAAACAAAAACCTTGTGTGATGTGCAGTAAAGGATACCATAGTGTTAGGGTTAAATGGGTTTGTAAAAGAAAATATATTTTCAGGAAATTAATTAAATTTAATTTTTTATGTAAATGTGTTATATCTATACAATTATTTTTTCAGACTTTCAGGAACCTTATGCTGTTGTAGTGGTTCTAAATGATGAACTAGTTGTGGTAGACTTAACAACTGAAGGGTAAGTATTTACATATTAATAGTTGTGGTGCATCTAAATAACAAACTAGTTGTAGTGGACTTAAGAACTGATGAGTAAGTAGTTTTATATAGTAGTTGTGGTATTTCTAAATAATTTACTAGTTATGGTGGACTTAACAACTGAAGGGTAAGTACCTATATATTAGTAGCTGTGGTGCTTGTAAATAATGAACTTGTTGTGCTAGGCTTAGCAAATGAAGTGTAAGTAGTTTTATATTAGTAGTTGTGGTGCTTCTTAATAACAAACTAGTTGTGGTGGACTGAACAACTGAAGGGTAAGTAGTTGCATATTAGTTAGTAGCTGTGATGCTTCTAAATAACAAACTAATTGTGGTGAACTTACCAATTGAAGGATAAGTAGTTCTTATGTGTTAGGAGTCATGTGTCTTAAATTTTTGAGTGAGTGGAAAATACATTATAGAATTTGTGTTCACAGAATAGGAATTGTCTAAGTAATGTTTTGGACTAAAGTGGTAGAAGAGGGTACTGTTATATGTGAAAAAACATTTCAAAATAAGAGGTTTTTGTGTGGGATACTACTTAATGTTATATATAAATTAGCCAAAGAAAAAACTGCTTGTTGCTTGGTTGAAAATATTACTAACAATATTGCTTTTATGTTTCAGTTCTAGAACAATTGTTGCTATGGTAGAAAAAGTAAAGTTATTGTAAGTTTCAATAATTTATTAAGAAATGTGCTTATTGTCTTTCTTTAGTTAATCACTAATTAGTGTCTGTATTTGTAAGCATTTTTTTATTAACTTATCTAACCTATATAAAAGTCATTGTGTGTCACGTTATGCTTGATTTCTCGAAATAGGAGGAGTTATAAAAGCTAAAATTTAATTAAATTAAATTATTAATAGTTTGACTGCTGTCTTTCCATTACAATATCAGTGATGGGGGCATGGGGGGGGGGGGGCTGTGAAACTGTATAAGTGTAGTGAGTGTTGGGATCACCTAGTGTAGAGCCAAGTACATAAAATATATCATGAAAGTAAAAATATCAATTCAATTTTAAACTTAAATCATTTTTGAATTTAGCTATTTTTGTTATATCACCAATGTTTTTAATATAAAAAATACCTGATTAACTCTTTCAACACAACCTCATAACTATTTTGTACTTGTTATAGTTTTCATGCTATAACTTTTAAATTAGTAAGCTAATGTTAACGGAATTTGGCATATTATTAGTTAACATTACAATGCTTTCATGTGCATAATATAATATTTGTGTAATAAGTATTAAGGTTTTCATAGCAATGTTTTTCTCGTGTCTTTTTTTGCATGTTACCTATCTATCATGCAAAGTAATATTCATTTTAAGATTAAAAATAATTTCAAGCATAAGAAAATTTTAAAATCTCACATGTGAAATCTTTATAATATCTAGATAGTTATCAAATGCTTCTTAAGGATAAACTTTATATTTTATCTGTTATTATCAGTAATTAATCTCTGTATGGGTTTGGTAGATTTGACCGATCTTGCAACCACCATACATTATTCGGAAATAGATATAAATTATTCCTCTTTCATTCTTGAATGAACACAAAAACACAAATATTTAGACTAAATAGCTTAAATCATATAATATTATACATTTATATATATTTATTAATTTTATTATATTGACCTTTTAGCCATGCCTGGCTAACAATACAGAAGTTACAAGCTTAGTAACTAAGATGTATTTTAGTCTAAAATTTATGTCATATATAGAAGTAAGTGGAAAAAAGGGAGTTTTTCCAAAAATGGAAAGAGGTGAAATGGGTGTCACTGTGTTTGATTTATTACATGAGCAATATCTTAGCAAATTGAAAAGATAAGAGGCTCTTATTTTTTATTCTATCTTGTCAGTATCGGTAATTTGAGTTTCTAATTCACACGAAACTATAGACTTCACAAACATCTAATTTGAACCAGTGCTGCATTCAACATACCATGTGACACACAAAAAGTGATGTTTATTTGTGTTTTTTAATATTTGCTTTTAAATTAAGAAATTGAGTAATATATAGAATTATAATCTACAGTTTGATACCAAAGTTATTCACATAAGTTTGTGAAATAGTAGTTCAATAAAATTTTGAATGCGAGTCAACAAATGAGGTGACATGGCCTTTCACCCGTGACCCACCTCGAAAGGGTTAATCAACGGATACTCTAAATTAAAAAATCAAAAAATATTTTTCCAGTTTTGTTGTCTGTACATTTCTTTTTATACTTTCAATACATAAACTAACAACAATATTAGGTTATACTTTTGTTGCTAAGCAACATATAATAAAGCCATTGTTGGAATGTAGTGTTACTAAAATACACTGACTTTTCCATATATTAGAAGTTGTTAATCTAACTGAATTTTACCAATAATTGTTCCATGAATAAGGCACAAATTCATTTCTTGAATGATGTTAATTTTGATTGACTCGCAAAGGAATGTACCGATGTTTGACTGCCTCAACTGTACTTTTCTGTCACTTTGTTGTCCAAGCTTGATTTTGCAAAATTTATTTATTTGAGTTAGCTATGAAATGTGGGGTTAGGGTATACTATGGGGTGGGGTGGTAGTACTTGCCCTGTAATTTTTGATGGGCTATATGCTAGTTGAAATATATATATATATATATAGCACATACTGTGCATTGTTTTTGAGAAAACATGATGATTTAAACATGGAATGTCCTTAAACTTAAAACTAGAACTACCTAATGCATGAAACACTGGATACACCACTAAAGATAATATGGTAGAAATCTACATTACAGGAGCTTTAGTATTAATTTGCTTGTTTATCTTTATTATTATTATTCAATAAAATACATCAGTTTTAAATGAGTCTTCCATAGTATGAAATCTGTGACAGAAAAAGTAAAACCCTCGGACATCATTCTCAGTTACCTAGCTGCCTAGGGTGACAAATTTAAGAAACTTTGAATGAAAGTGATAAAAATTTGATAAAGTATGTTTTTATTTAATTTTATAGTATGGGGGTGTTGCAACCCGCTGTACCAAATCAAGATGCCAATCAAGAGTGCTGTGTGATCATGTGACTGAACATGTGATTAATGATTTAACTAATACAAAAGCTTCATTTCTGGAGTGATCATGTTGTGGTGGAGGTGACAAAAATTTCTGCCTAGGGTGGCACTATACTATAATGCTGCCCTGAGTATAATCATAAATGTTTAATAAATGCTTAGGGCTCAGACTAGAATAGTAAAAAACTCACATAATGGAAACTGTTCTTAGCAAACTGCAAATTTTTGCAATTTATTATTTAGACTTAGTTTTAATATTAAATACTTCTTTTATTGCTGTTTTTTTATGTTTGAAATTTAGGCTAAATTTAAATATAATTAATATTTTGTTAATATTTTTATTCCATTCCATTTTTCTGTCAATCAGAAATATGCCACCTTATTTATAATACATAATGTGTGTAGTGAACAACTTGTTTGTTAAAGCTCTACAAAAAATTATTTTCATCATAATATCTTAACAAAATAGGATACTCTATTTAATACGCAGTCACATATGTACACTGTATGGCTGATGTACATTACTAAACATAAATAAATAGAAAATGCACAAAACATATTTTATTTATAATTTATTATTATATATTATTTTTTATTTAAAATATCTTTTAATTTGATTTATGTGTTTTCAGATTTCCTTCTTTCCTGAACCCTTATCCCATGGACCTACATGAATCTCCTGTTACTTTTTGTACATACCTTACAGACTGTCCGATTGATCTCATCCCAGCTCTTTTTTCTGTAGGCTCCAAAAAAAAAAAGCATTCTGGGTTTTCAAAGAAAGTGAGATTTACTTTTGATTTTTTAGTGTAAATTTCAGTGTTTGCATGACTGAATAGTATTTGGACTTATTTCATAAGTAGACAAAGATTTTTGTTACCTGTACAATTAATTGAATTCAGGATTTTTTAATAAATTTAATTTATTAAAAATGAATAGCAGATAATCTTGATTAAATACCATTTTTCAACAATGTCATAATATGTAATTATGATTGTTTGGAATATACATGGTTCAAACAGCACTTACAAGTAACGTTTGTGCATATCAACAAACATATATGTTACTGCTACGACAGCAGAAGTCACGTGACGCTGGAAGCATGCTCACTGGAGTTTCTAGAAGGATCATGTCTCTTCTTGGCAACTCTAGTCTTTTCTACATGCCCTCTATTTTAGTATATAAGCAGGCAAATGAAGCGAGATAATTAATTGCTGCAGACAGGCAGAGATAGACATGGACAATTGAGTCAAGCGCGGTAGTGACCGTAAGTAAAGTGCATGAATTGTTATGAATTATAGCGTGTGTTTAAGTTAAAGTGACTGTGGAAATTAAATGTATTGCAAAGTTGTATTGAGAATAAACTAATTTTATTTAAGAAAGAAGTTGTATCATTAAAATTTCATTCAAAAGAAATTATACAGGAAATTAACAAACGACCAGAGACGTAACAAATTGGAGTCAAAGCGTGGAACGGAAAATAAAAAAAAAGAAGAAGAAGAAAAAGATGGCAATGAGAGGTGGCAAATCAAACTACAGCTTAGCAGATTTGATGGCAGAAATACAAGAACAGCAAAATAAACAAGAAGAGAGACAACAGCAGTTGCAAGAAAACCTGAAACTGTGGCAGCTCGAACAGCAAAATAAACAAGAAGAGAGATTACAGCAGTTCTCGGAGGAAAAAGAAAAGAAACAAGTAGAAAGAGAAAAGAAGCAAGAAGAGAGATTACAACAGTTGTTGGAGGAAAAAGAAAAGAAACAAGTAGAAAGAGAAAAGAAGCAAGAAGAGAGATTACAACAGTGGTTGGAGGAAAAAGAAAAGAAGCAAGAAGAGAGATTACAACAGTGGCAAGATAACTTGCAATAGTGGCAGCTCGACCAGCAAAATTGACAAGAGAGATTACAGCAGTTGTTGGAGGAAAAAGAAAAGAAACAAGAACAACAAGAAAATAAACAAGAAGAGAGACTACAGCAGTGGTTGGAGGAGAAAGAAAATGAACAAGAAGAGAGACTACAGCAGTGGCAACTGGAACAAGAAAAGAAACATGAAATGCAAATGGAAAAGCTTAGTAAATTTCAAAGAGAATTAGATACGTTAAAAGATGATTTACTGACTTTTACACAAGGAGGATACATTAACCATAAACATAATCAGCCCTAAACAATGGCAAGCCACTTTCAGACCCCCCTGCAGCTAAACCCTAATGCAGACATCTTCAGGCCTGTTAGAAGTTGCATCCCAGATATGAATGTCAGCAATAGGGGTGATCTAGTACGAAGGAAGCCACAGGAATTTGATGGGAAGGCACCGTTGGAAGCATATAGAGCACAATTTGAGCTCCTGGCAGAAATGAATGGATAGACAGAGGAGCAGAAAGCAGTATATCTGGCAACGAGCTTGAAGGGACAACCACTGGAAATACTTGGACAGTTGTCAGCAGACAATAGACACAATTGTAGAACGCTGCTAGCTGCTGTAGAAATCAGATCTGGAACCGAAAATCAGTCCAAAATCTACAGGACTAGGTTTAGGACGAGAGTCCGTGCTAAAGGGGAGAGCCTGCAAGAGCTGGCACAGGACTTTGAAAGTATGGCACACAAGACCTACCCAACTGCACCATCCAATGTTCTCATGCTGTTCCTGAGGCATCATTTTGTAGATGCCTTGGACAGTCCACAACTGAAGATACAAGAGAAACAAGCACACCCCTCTACTATACAAGATATTATTCCAGAGCTTTTGAATTCGAATCCTGCATTAAGTCCAGCACAGGTTGGTGGTACAGTCATCAGGATTCAAGGCCAGAAAAGGATGGCTTTGAGAGAGGTTTGAGGGACTTTGCTGGCACTGTAACAAATCTTGGTACAAGAAAGCTCAATGGTGGAAACTTCAACACAGGGAAGATACCACGACAGGAAAAGCTGCTATCCAGAAAGGTTGTCTGAAATGTGGAGAGCAAGGACATATGAGGAGCCAGTGTAAGAGGAATATTACCAATAAGTCAGCCTCGGGGAAACCAGTAGTGGTTGGTGTTGAGGTACACCCACCAACCCACATCATGAAGTCCCAACAGCTAGGTGTAAAATGGCAAGCACACATAGTGTCTATGTGACAGAAAAACTGGATAGCCAAAGGTGCAACTTTGGCATAGATTCTGTGTCTCAACAAACCCTTGTGAGTATCAAGATGCTGGATCACAAGGGAGTACCAGAAGCCATACAGAAAATGTGTGATGTGACAGGACATTATGCAAGATTGTGGGGACCAGTGTGGGTAACTATTGAGCTCATGGGCATGAAGAATAGACAAAAGTATACTTGGCTGACATTGGCATATTAGGGTTGGACTACTTACTACCGAGGAAGTTTGTAATTAATTTTAATAAAATGACGTTTGGGAACAACAAATGCCAAATTCCGGTAACTGTTAAAAGAGAGGTTGAACTAACTAGGTGCCATCAAGCTGAAGTCAAAGTGACTGAGAGAGTTGATGATGGTGAAGTGGAACCAGATATTGATATTAAAGCAGAGCAGGAGGAGGATCAAGATTTGAAGCCAATAATTGATTTCCTACATGTAAGTATTTTTCTCCCTACTTTGGAGAAGGCATCTAGCTAAAGCCCTGTGACAAAGAACTATTGGGCACAATGGGACCAGTTTAAGCTTGAAGATGGTATTCTTCTCTGGAGATGGGAAACTGCAGATGGGAAAGTGACGACTTGGCAAACGGTTATACCGAGAGCGTTATGGGAAGTTGTGCTGCGTCAATCCCATGATAGTTTAACAGGAGGACATCTTGGAGTTAAGAAGACATTGAGTCACCTACCACCTACTTTTCTACCATCCTATCATACTGTGGGTGAAGTGGCATTGTCCTGGTCTTTCGTATGCCAAACAACTTGCAGCATTCATGGAACATAGCTGATTCAAAGTTACAGCCTTGATCTGAATGCAGTTCGTATGGCATACCAAACCTGAAGAAGAAATCACTAATAGCTGAAGCTACAGTTGTAGCTTCTTGATTTGGTATTGCATATGTCTCAGGCCACTTGGTGAAATAATCCGTCACCACACAAATGTACCTGTTTCCAGCACGAGTTTGGGGCAAAGGACCAGTATTGTCAATGGCTACTCTTTCCATAGGTATGCCAACTTGACATAACTTCATTGGAGCACGTCCCTTGTGCTTGGTCTCCTTTTAGCACATGTACTGCATGTCCTGCACCATTCTTCTACATCTTGCCTGATACCTATCCAGTAAAATCTCTGTCATAGGTGACTCAATGTCTTCTTAACTCCGAGATGTCCTCCTGTTAAACTGTCATGTGATTGACACAGCACAACTTCCCATATCATTCTCGGTATAGCCGTTTGCCAGGTCGTCACCTTCCCATCTGCAGTTTCCCATCTCCGGAGAAGAAGACCATCTTCAAGCTTAAACTGGTTCCGTTGTGCCCAATAGTTCTTTGTCACAGGGTTTACGCTAGACACCTTCTCCCAAGCAGGGTGCAAACCACTTGCTT